TATCCCTCTGCAATTCTATATTGATTTCTTTATCTGTTAGCCTCCGTGCGATAGCGATTGATGCATGTAATATTGATAAAATAAATTCACATCGGGTCGTCTCATTAGCCTCTATCATTGATTTTACATTCGTTAACTGTAGTAGGATGTCATTCATACATTGCTCGAGGGCTTTGTCGTTATCATTGATTTCCTCGAAAACTATATATCAGAAAAAACATTAGCATACACCTATATTTGATCGTAACGTTTTGTCATAGTTTTGGCCGATCACTTTGCCAAGACAAAATAAAATAAAGTACCACATACCTGGATTGAATTGCTTTATACTTGTTATATCCTCTCCATTGACCTTATATTTACGGAGTACATCCTTTAGTTCATCCAAAGTTTTGTATGATGAGAAGCTTCGTAATTTTTGTTCTGACATCTCGTCGATAAAATCTGCAAGCCTTTTTGCTGGGCCAGCTTTTAATCCATAACTGCGAAACTCCTCCTTAGATGTGTTAAGAAAGGCACGCCAGAAATTCTTTTATTACGTAGGATCTTGAAATCTGCCTCAACAAGATCTAAGTTTTCTCGCCTCAGTAAATAATCGATAAGTTCTTCCGTCTTGTAATCTTTAATAACGTCCGCCATCGTGCAAGTTGACTTTTCTTCCGTCAAAGTAGAGGATGTAGAGGAAGGTGGAGAAGCGCTGGGTGAAGACATGTTATCGTTTTTATATTTTGTGAATAAAAGTTCCTCGCGATAGTTATCGTTTTATATTGATACATGTATGGCGTTGTTTATGCACAGTGCCAAATTTTATATTTTTGGAAATGATCAGAATATGATACACCCCCGCCACACCGATATTATGTCGTATTAAAAATGCAACTGAAGTGACTAAAGTTTAATGTTATGCTTTTTTGTTCAAATTCTCGAGTACGAAAGATGCCGTGATGGAGGGCAATTTTATTACGAAAACTTTTTCCTATTTGACCAATTCCAAAGGGGTTTCCGACGAGTACTCTGCTGAATTTTCAAGAAATTAACTCAATGGCTTGTTTGAATAATTCATAATCACAATTATTTTGGGTAGTTACCTTAATATTATTTAATACCATTATACCCAATGGTCACCATCAATTGATATATACATCTCGCTCTTTCAATATCCTTCACAAATGTCTTTCTCTTAAACAATTTAAAATTACCTCCAAAAAAAAGCTAAGGAAAATATTTATATGTTGGAATTGACGCTCTTTTTGGTGCTATTATTATGCCGAAAAAAATTGTTGGTTTCAACCAAAAATCTGAGGAAGGATTGTTACTTTTTGCTCGCAAAAAATTGTACCTTCCCGGTATTAGACCAGCGGCGATACGGTACTTCGATAACCCTAATTAGTATATTCGTTTTATAACGATTCTCTTTTATTAATACAGTGTATGAAAAATAGTGGTAAGTTACTGTATATCAAAAACTATACTAAAGCAAAGGCTCTAGAATCAAATTGCTCTCTGACTTGATTGAATCTTCAGTATAATCAAATTGGAGATAAACGATTTTTTAGTTTTTCCAAGCACTAGTAGTGTTGCCCCCAACTACTAATTTTACCCTCGTTTTTCTGGGAGCTAGTATCTCCCCATTGAAGTGATAATTTGTTGCTTTTAGCCAATTTCGCTGGTTAATTATTTCTCGATAATTCTCATATAATTTATAATTTCTCCCTAATTCTTGGGCTACTTTTAAAGTGGTGCCACTCTGTATTTGTCCCTTTTCTCTGTGCCCGCTTGGATCTTGCGTGTGTGTGTTTTATTACTGTGTACTTTATATGTGTTGACGTCTTCAGCCAGTCATCAACTTTCCCAAGCAGGATTGAAAATTTACTAAGCGATTACGAGCGCTATACTCTGATTGGTCGAAACCTAAAATCTTTGGTTTTCGATCGTAGTTATATGTTTTTTTTCTTTCAAGGACGATCATATTTTTTATAGGATAAACCAATTCTAGAATTTTTCTCGCATTCAGTTATAGAACATCATGACCATTTAATTGTTATTAATATTAATTAATATTATTTTCAGATATTACATTTTTAATTTTTTAAGAATATTCACTAAGCCGCTGCGGGTTTACTTGGTAAATCTCGAAAACGTGACCGTTCTGATTCACCTAAAAAAGGACTTAAGGAGTTGACTATGGATAATATCTGTGGTTTCGTTAATGAACTTTCGGCCTTCTGACGATTTGCTTCTTCATGTGTTACTGGAGTTGGTTGCCTAATGTTTCTTTAGTTAGCTTGCTATTATAAAATCTATTCTTTTCATATGAGCAATTTCACTGAATCTTTTCATTTCTTCACTTAGCATTCACTCTCTGCTTATGTCTTGAAAACACGGCCATTAACGTTTGGGTTTACAAATTCGGTCTGTCTTATTCGAACCCGAAATCGACGTGATTCAGCATTAAAACTAGGACGTATACGAGGTCCGTGCATTTCACTTTCATTATACAGTCAGGACTCGATATAGTAAAGTCTCGATATAGTAAATTCCGCGTTATAGTCAAGAATTCCTCTGAACAAAAAACTGAATTATTAAATTTTCCCTCGATAAAATGAAGTTTTATAGTAAAGTCTCGATAGTAGTAAATTCGCGTTATAGTAAAATTTCCTCTCAAACAATATTAGTAAATTGTCTCTTGATATAGTGAAGATTGTAAACCACTTGATGGATTTTGACAAATCATAATACAAACACGTGGTAATTAAAAGTGAGAGCGGTGAGAATTTTAACAGCACGAGACCCGACAGAGAGAAAAAAGAAAAAGGCAGTTCAGGGAGAAGAGGTTTGTCTGGTGCCCAGAAATCTGAAATATGTCGTTTAAAAGGGCGAGGTGTTAGCCAAGTTACACTAGCGAAGCAATTTGATATTT